GGGATTGGTGCCGTTCGTCATTCCTATCACCTGATAAACATAATTACGATCTACTTTAGTTTAAAGTCACAATAAAGGGGAGTATTCAAACGTCATGTTTTCGAATTTGATATTACCAGAGACAACGTGCCATTCAAAGAATATAAGACCGGTAGTAAATGGATCGAATTTGATACATTTACCAAGTGCGATGATATCGAGATCAATTGGTTCGACATGTAAACATAGCCTCAAAAGTCAATTGAGTAATCTGAGGGAACGGATTTCTTGGGATAGATGTTTGATTCTTATGAGGATAGAATGGCAATGAAAAGTGAAATTGGTAGGCATTTCCTCATTTTCAGCTTTCTCTGAATAAATCCTAAAAGTTTTGTTTGAGGTAATTAAATTTATTCTTCTGAACGAAACGATGATCAAATACGACCTACTTCCAAGAGCTCAAAATTGCGATTAACTTCGATCTTTCGCAGAGGACCTCCGTAAAATTTAGGCTCATGACTATCATGGCGTTAAATTTTATGCTGCTTCATCCAACTTTGGTTCTAACCCAAAGGACTAAATTTTTCGGGTCAATTCGAAAATTCGCCCATTGGGCCGAAACCAATGAAGCTCGTTATTGATTAGTTTTTGACTGTTTCTCGGCTCAGTAAGCCTTGCCGAGAGTCCGGACAGTGCGATATCGATTCTACACCTCCAAGTACATAGGATCCGACTGAAATATCGAAATTTTTTTTTGAATCCAAAATCGAGAAAAATCGACAGGGGGCTAAATTTTTAGCATGAAAATCGATAGTTCACCAAGCGGGCCGAAACCAACTAAGCTCGCATGGAATTGACCCGCTGAGTGCGATTTCCCTGTCCGAAAAGCTCCACGAGTTCCTCGTTTCCAGCTATTCGCGGTAAATCCTCCAGAGGAACAGGCAAAAACTGATCAGAAAAGTGGTCTTGTTATTGACCAGTTTATGACTGTTTCTCGGCTGAAGAAGCCTCGCCTAGAGTCGTGACCGTGCGAAATCGATTCTACAACTCCAACTACGTAGGATCCGACTGAAATCTCGACATTTTTTTCTCAGTCCCAAATCGAGAAAAATCGACAGGGGTTACATGGACTAAATTTTTAGCGTCAAAATCGACAGTTTGCCGATCGGGCTGAAACAAAGTAAGCTCGCTTGGAATTGACCCGCTGAGTGGGATTTTCCAGTCGGAAAAGCTCCTCGAGTCCCTCGCTACGAGCTATCCGCTGAAAACGCTCCGAAGAAAGAGACAAAAAAAGGTCAGAAAAGCTCGTTTTTGACCAGTTTTTTACTGTTTCTCGGCTCAGGAAGCCTCGCCGAGAGTCGGGACCGTGCTGAATCGATTCTACGCTTCCAGCAACGTAGGATGCGACTGAAATCTCGAATACTTTTCCCCGTCCCAAATCGAGGAAAATCGACACGGATAACATAGACTAAATTTTTCGGGTCAAAATGGAAATTTCGCCGATAGGGTCGGAACCAAGTAAGCTCGCTTGGAATTGACCCTTGACCGATTTCTGTATCGAATGTGAGGTTTTTTTCCAAACACTATTCTGCTTTCATTTCTCTTAATTTTGCCGATTTTTGAGTTTAGAATGATTCTTTAGACTCATGCGCAGGCAGCAGGGGCTATCGTCCTTTTTTTTTTGCTGAAAACTCAAAATCTGCCGAGATTTTTTATCTAAAAGATAAAAAAAAGCGACAAAAATGTATCCAAAAATGGTTTGGAGGGGGCGAGTCTATGGTACGTGTACACGTAAAATTGCGAAAAATCAAAATCTTGACTGATCCTTTTTTCGAAATATGCGATTTGAAATTTTTATAGTAAATGCAACTTTTCCACTGATTTTGATCCGATTTTTATTTATTTGTACATTGAATCGGTGTTGATCGGTTCACGTTTTCATTTTTCGTTCGATTCATGTCGATCATACATACCCTCTCGTTACACGCACACTTCCTTTCATACCCTTTTTTTTAACTGAAAAATTCGTCTTCAGCTGCGTCTGCAGCAATTGTTGTTACGAATATGTTGTGCGTGCTGGTTTCAGGTCATTACATACTCGACTCTCTGAAGGCGTTTTATGTGCGCAAGTGGCGTACCCTGTTGGAGAACTGTCGAATTGCTCTCGCACACAAAACGCCTTCAAAGAGTCGAGTATGTAACTACCTGAAACCAGAACGCACCGCATACTCGTAACAACAATTGCCGCAGACGCAGCAGAAGGCGAATTTTTCGGTTAAAAAAAAGAGTATGAAAGGAGGTGTGCGTGTAAAGAGAGGGCATGTATTCGATCGACTTGATTCGAACAAAAAATAAAAACGTGAACCGATCAACACCGATTCAATGTACAAATAAATAAAAAGTGGATCAAGATCAGTAGAAAAGTTCCATTTACTATGAAAATTTCAAAGCGCGTATTTCGAAAATAGCAATAGCCAAGATTTTGATTTTTCGCGATTTTAAGTGTGCACGTACCATGGACTCACCCCGAGCAAACCATTTTTAGGTACATTTTTGTCGCATTTTTTTTTTTTTTTGCTTCAAAACCACTGTGCCGGGACTCATGCGGAATTTGAGATACACCCTTACGCCAATGTGCCATGTGCCTTGGATTGCATTGAGATGCGCTTGCAAAGACGAGCATCGAGTGGGGGCTACACGACACTTTTCCTCGACGCTTGAATTTCGCCTCCTCTTCCTCGCTGCAAATTTTTCACCATGCCATTGCCCGCCCTCGCGGGGGATCGAATTAAAAATTGAACGTAATTCCATTCGTCTCGCCGCCTGAAAAATTCTCCCGCGCTCGGAGTAATGATCACGGTGAGGAAGATAGATCGCGCTTCTTCATAATTATGAAATTAATTTCGCTTCCCGCCCGCGTTCGGATGCTCCCCTCCCCCCTCGCCCATCCCACCGACGCCATTTTGTAATATTTAACTTTTTTCTTCTCAAAGATGACTGTTTTTATTGGAAACTTCCAGGCAGTCTCTCTACCCTCGCGGAAACTTTTTCGAGCGATGTAAAATCGGGGCGCGGATCGGACGTGCGCGTGGAACTTAATTTCTTCCTCTGCCTCTCAAGTTGGGCTTTTTTTTGCAATTTTGCTTTTTGATTATTTTAAATTTCTCGGCTCCATCTCCTCCAGTGCTAATGGGTTAGTTGCTGGTCACAGAATCGTGTTTTGATGATTCGCATAGATCAGCTACGAATAATAAGATCCGTCCAAACAGCAGCTCTCTACACTGAAAAAAAATCTCGGTGTATTTACTAAGAAAAATTGGTAAAATTACCAAGAATTCGGGGTTCTATTTAACACCAGCTTTTTCTCGGTAAAATAACCATTTATGGAATTGGTAATTTTACCGAGAAATCTCGGTAAAATTATTGAACTTTCTCGGTAATTTTACAGGACCTTGGTAAAAACGCCAATATTTTTTATCGACTGTGGTAAAATTACCGAGATAAAATGGCAAAGTTACCGGGGATTGATTACCAATAAAAGTGGTATTCTTACCTGAAAAATGCAGTAAAAATACCGGTTTTTAGGTAAGCTTGCCAGTCTGTCTGGGTAACATTACCAATAATTGGTTAAAAAAAGTGAGATGGTAAAGGTACCAACGGACCTTGGTAAAAACGCCGAGAATTTTTTTTCAGTGTAAGTTCAATATTAACCGAGATATCACGCTTTGAAAAATTCGGTTTATGACGTCATCCACCGCGGTATAGACACTCTTGGATTCTTCCAGCTTACTTGAATGTGCCAGGGAGGTACACATTTTCACTAGTTACTCGACGTGAAACTCGGATGAAAGCGTGGTGGAAGAAAACAAGGGTGTCACTACCGCGGTGGCTGACGTCCTGAACCGAATTTTACAATGCGCGATATTTGTTAATATTGAACGTAGAAAATTGCTGTTTTGACAGAGCATAATATTTTTAGCTTATAGACAAGAGTCAAACATCAAAATACGATTCTGAGATAAGCGTAACTGACATATTGAAATCAAATTCTATGCAATGGGTCAGTTTCGCCCGTCCTCAAACCGTGTTTTGATGATATAAAGCTTAAAGATCGGCAAATAATGGTAAGATCTATTAAAGCACCAAATTTCTGTGTTCAATATCAATAGGGATACTGCTCATCGAAAACGCGGCGTATGACGCCATGCATCACGGTTCTGCATACATGGTTTCTTCCAACTTGATTTCATCAATCAATGAGACACATTTGCACTGCTTGTACGTTTAACGTAAAGCTCGGATGAAACTTAGCTGGAAGAAACCGTGATATGCACAACGTCACATGCCGTGTTTTTAGACGAGCGATTCTCCTTATGTAGGTATTCTCATCATCACTACCTGACTTATTTCAAAAATATTTCGTCACCTTCCGGTTATAGTATCACAAGCGACGTGCGACGTTTAAAAATCTCCACCGCCAATTTATTTTTTTACAGAGTAATTGTCGGTCGAGTCTGTTTGAAAAAGTCACTGAATTTTATCGGCAGCACAAAGAAAATTCGGTGAAATTTTCGAACAGCTTTTTAAACAATTTTTCTGTAAAGAAAGTAAAAGGGCAGCAGAAACTTTTAAACGTCGCATGGCGTTTGTGATGCTTTGGCCGGGAGGTGACGATTTGTTGGTTGAAGGTTTGGATACGGAGGGATAGAGTCCCCCTATACTGAGAGTCAAGTCAACACCCCTTCATGGAGTCACAAATGGGAATAAAGATTACCCAAATTGAACGTTTTTCGTAATCTTTGATCCGTTTGTTCCTTGCCGTACCCCTACTTCCCCCGTCTATTCCATTTTATAATCTTTGCAATCGGTGAAAATGTAATCTTTATTCCCGTTTGTGACACTGTGAAGGCCTAAAATACGGGAACCATTCAGAAATGGAATCACATTGTCTTGACTCTCAGTATAAAGGGACTCTACGGAGGGAATGCGGTTGATTATGAGGTGTTGACTGTTGGCATTACCTGTGCTCTCGGTGTTGAGGACGTCGGGACAGGCCTGGAACCTGAGGAGGAGGCGGGAGTCCTCGGTGCAGGCGTCGGCCCTGGAGGTGGGCGTGCCGCACTCGACGGAGCCCCGGTTGTAGGTGAACGTGAACGGCGGGCCCCCGATCTTGCTGTCCGTGAACGGGCACGCCACCGGGGCCGCGTCCACCTTGAACATCGAGTAGAGCGGCGCGTCGCCCGAGATCTGACTGCACAGCTTGTCCAGCGGCTCCTTGTTGTAGCACGCCGACGCTGAAACACAAAAAACAAACCCAACTCACAAACAGAAACAGGAAACTCAGTCAAGGAGAAAAGTCATGAGGATGCTGGGTCCCTTGAAAAATCACGGTGAACGCATCGGGAAAGTCTTAAATCTGATAAAAACTCCTAACTTCACAATCAGCGTGAGAAATATGCGAGGTACCACCCGAGCTTGAGTTGTGGCACTACCACACGGATAAAAAAACCTCCTGCGTGGGACCCGAAGTTTAGGTCATATGGATCTCTGAAGTTTTCGGATCGAGCATCTGAACACTTTAGGTCTAGCTGTCGAGGTTCGGATCGCATATCTGAAACTTCAGTTCTCACATCTGAAGTACTTCCGATGTGAGAACCGAAGTTTTTCGGATGTGAGAACCGAAGTTTTTCGGATGTGAAAATCGAAGTACTTCGGATGTAAGAACTGAAGTTTCAGATGTGTGATCCAAACCTCAGCAGCTGGACCTAAAGTGTTCAGATGCTCAATCCGAAAACTTCAGAGATCCATATGACCTGAACTTCGGGTTCCACGCACGAAGTTTTTTTCTCCGTGCACACTCAACTGGAAATATCCATATCATCCAAAAAAGTGGAGTACTCCGGCAGTATATCACAATGTAGGAGGATAATCTCTAACATTTTTTTTCCGTGCAGAGATGAATGAAGGAAAACCTGCCTTCATTCTTTAAATAATCCTGCAAACTGATTCCGATTTTCTACATCAATGATTTTAGAGTGAGTCGATTCGCACTAAGGTCACCAATACCGATCACGCATTGGTCTCAAACGCACTAAAATGTTTCAAGTTAGTTGAAGTTCGATATACGACAACCTCAGTGATTACTTTCAATGACGAATGATTTTATACGAGTGATTTTAAGTTGGAAACTTAACACGATTCCTACTGCAATCACAAGAGAGGTAGCTCACCACTTTGAAGCTTAAAAATATTCAGTTTTGCCTCCTATCACTTGAATTTTTGCTCCTCTGTTGAATTAGTTTTTCTCGTCGAGTGGCGGCCGATTATTGAAATTGATAGACAAACCTATAGACAAAGATCACAAAAGGCGTATGGAGGGCTCATATTGGTGGAAGCTGGTAGTTACAATGGATAAAATATGAGGTGGGTAATTAACTAACGGCAACCTACGAGAGACCCTACACTTTGTCTATCATTTTCTCCCCTAGTCCATAGGAATCTCCCACTATAACCGACAGCGGGATTGCTCTATATTCTCTAAGTCTTCTTTGTCTATCGCTCTGTCTATCAATTTCAATAATCAGCCCGCAGGGTAGAGCTATGTTCTTCGGTGATCCAAAACCAGAAAAAGGGATGAAAAAAAGGTTTTTGTCTCAATATTTTCCCAACTCATCTAACTTTGCAAATCATATGAGTAATGAAACGAAAGTTTCCTGGATGTAATTAAAGTTTGATTTCAGCTGTTGACATATGCATTGGAATTCAAAGTTTAATTTTGACGAGAACGTTGCACTCCGCTCCGTGTGGAGAGCGGTGCGAGGGGTTCCTGAAATCAAGTTCATGATGGAACACCAGCTTTAAATGTCAGGTTGTCACAGTGCAAATGAGGTTATTTCTGGAGGACAGGGGCACTACGGTGGGGAGGGGGCTAGGTAGTGGTGCGGGGAAGAAGCCATGCAACATAGATCACGGTGAATAATAAATGGAATGTTTATCTAGCAGACACGCAAGTTCAATAACTGACTCCTGGCGGCGGGGCTCCCTCGCTCTGTATACGCCCAATAATTACGACCTTTCAAACTATCCGTTAACGTCGCATTATTTCCTGCCGCACTTCAGTTCGAGGTTTCCTCGCGAAACCCGCTCCCGCGAAATCAATTCTACGCAAAAAGTTATGGTGAATAGGAGCCGCTATTGGATCCGGAGGTAGCGCTTCCGGTTCAACTGAAAATTAGACTTTCGAGCGCCGTTTAAAGGAAGAACGCCGTATGAGCCATCAGGCGTTGCTAAATTTCCTTGGTCGAATCACGAATTTGCAGGAAATTCTGTGAATATTTCTCTTCGAAATGTTCACAGGATTTCGTTCGTAGTTTGATCTAAAAAGTAGGCAAATTTCGAGGAAAATTATTCATGACTTTCTTCAAAAATGAAGATTTTCAAAGAAGAAATGTAGCAACTCTCGAATGTTCATGCAGCGTTTTTCTTTAGCACGGCAGAGTAGGTGGCTGCAGGAGATTTTCTTCAGAATAAAAGACAAGTTTTTCATCAAAGGGACTGCGGACGAGGGAGGGGGAAATTGATGGGAAAAGTCCTCTCTTTACATGCATATTCTATTTGTTTTATTAGATTTTATGAATAAAAATAGGAGTTTTCTGTTTGCGACACGTTTTTTCTTTTACTTTTGAATCAATGAAACTGCACGTATTGAAAAGAAGGTAAAAAAGTATTAATGAAATGATAAAAACTGCGATCGAGTTGTTACGGAGGCGTCGATGAAAAACTTTTGTAACCATACGTGGGTTTATACGCGAGAACGAAAAAAAACTACAGTGTTAATGAGATTGTGCAATTGTTTCCGGCTTCAAGTAAATAATACATTTATTTAAAAAAAAATCAAATATTAAAAAGATACAAAAACGAAAGAACAAAACCCAAAAAATCAGTTTTTCTAATAATTGTCTTTTTCATTGATATTTTTTTGGGTTTGAAAATAAAAACTGTTTAAACTTTTAAGTTTCCTCCCTAAAAAAAAAAGTTTTGCAGTCTTCGAAGCTTGCAATAATTTTGGTTTTTTCTTGCTGAAATCAGTCCAAACGGTGGTGTCTGAGCAATTATTAAAATTACCCTAAAATCAAGGCCGTAAAAAAGAAATTGATTTTTAGTGAATATATGCTCGAAGAAAGAGTAGGATAGATTGGCTAGATTTATTTTCTTCAACTCTGAAATTAACTGTGAAAGTTTATTAATCAACTAATTGTATGGTAGATTGTATTGATTAATCGGCCAGCAACGGCATTAAAAACGCCTTCATTTCGTCGCTTATGCATCGCAAGACGCAAGTGTCCGAATAGTTGCCTGTTGAAAATATTCGAACCGAGAAACAGTGTCTACCGATATTGGGCGGCTATATAGGGTGTCGTAATTTTTACGCACCCCTCCCCCTCCCCCTAGG